ATCTGCTGTATCTAAGGCACTCCCTCACCTGGAGACTCATGGGACTTCCTGCAGCTGCAGTTGCTTAGAGGTGGTCTCCTCCAGCCACCACCCCCATGGAACGTGGTGCTGCCATGTAGCTGTAAACGCCCCTAGACTAGTTCCCTAGGGGCAGTCACAGGTTGTGTGGCAGGGCCTGGGGTTAGCATGGCTCCACATTCTTCTATGCCTTCTGTTCTAAGGACACTTGGCTCCAGAGGAAGTAACCTGGACTGGATCTGTGCTCTCCTTTCAAACCACTGTGAAGCTGTATTGCTTCCATTCCAAATCTCGATGGTTTATCTTTAAAGGTGAAAAATTCTGCCATTTTAAGTCATGCTGCTATAAAGACACATGCACACGTATGTTTATTGCGGCACTATTCACAATAGAAAAGACTTGGAATCAACCCAAATGTCCATCAGTGACAGGCTGGATTAAGAAAATGTGGCACATATACACCATGAAATACTATGCAGCCATAAAAAAGGATGAGTTTGTGTCCTTCGTAGGGACATGGATGCAGCTGGAAACCATCATTCTCAGCAAACTATCGCAAGAACAGAAAACCGAATACCGCATGTTCTCACTCATAGGTGGGAATTGAAAAATGAGATCACTTGGACACAAGAAGGGGAACATCACGCACCTGGTCCTATTGTGGGGAGGGGGGAAGGGAGAGGGGATAGCATTAGGAGATATACCTAACGTAAATGATGGGTTAATGGGTGCAGCACACCAACATGGCACATGTATACATATGTAACAAACCTGCATGTTGTGCACATGTACCCTAGAACTTAAAGTATTAAAAAAATATTCTGCCATTTTCTAAGGTTCACTCTTGTGAAAGTTTCACTTTGAGTAAATTCTCGTAGTATCTTGATGACTTCAGAAAGGTTTGAAAGAGTTGTCAAGGCACAACCATACTGATGTTTCCTAAGTGCTTTAATTCACTTTCTCAGTTTATTCTAGAAATGCTATACATAGCATTGTACGTAGTAAGGTGCAGATTGGTGCGAAGGTCACCTAATTTGATCTAAAGCAATATAAGAGGAAAGTCCTAGTTAACCTCACTTTCTAGATTATGTCACCTTGATCTCAGATCCTAATGTTGCACATCCAGCAATCCTTCTTAGGGCCAGGGTTGAAATATTTTGGTCCCTCTATGGAAATATTCATGTCACCAAGGCCCTAATTTCTGCAGAATGGACATCATCCAAACACTATCCTAACACTATCAGAAAGAAAAAAATAAATTAAAAATACACACACACACACACACACACACACACACACACACCCATGAATTCTTATTTTCTGTACATTTTTTATAGTATGGAATGGGGAAGTGAAGTAATAGTTCTATAGCTTACAGTAGAAATATTTTAGAATTATGCCTGTGACTCTAAGTTGAAAATCTGATTGGAAAAGATCCTCATGGGGGTGCATTCAAGCCTGTCAGTATGCAGAAGTGAAAATAGCCGGTTGCTGCCTTAACCGATGACATTACCTTGTGAAATTCCTTCTCCTGGCTCAGAAGCTCCCCCACTGAGCACCTTGTGACCCCCCGCCCTTGCCCGCCAGAGAACAACCCCCTTTGACTGTAATTTTCCACTACCTACCCAAATCCTATAAAATGGCCCCACCCCATCTCCTGTCGCTGGCTCTCTTTTCGGACTCAGCTCACCTGCACCCAGGTGAAATAAACAGCCTTGTTGCTCACACAAAGCCTGTTTGGTGGTCTCTTCACAGGGACGCACATGACAACAGGGACATCCATGGTACGTGGACTTGGCATCTGAAATGTGAGTTGATTTATTATCCTGGATAAATAAACTAAAAATAAGAAAATATTTTGAAGCTGATAAATTTGAAGTAGAACTCTATCACTTTACAGTTAAAAAAGGTAAAAATACTTTCATTCTTTTTGTTTTCAGAGACCTGGGGCTGAGGAACAGAAAACAAACACATTTTTATAATCTAACACTGAAAGAAAGAACACAGAGGTAGATAGTTCCACTTGTAAAATCACCATCTTCCCTACTCTTACTTGTCAACTTCATATTTGCTTTTGGAGTCCATTTTTCAAAAATTTATATGTTTTCCCCTATCCTAGAAAAGAGAGTCTCTGACAAAGAAAAGCTAAAAATTTCTTGGCTACAATGACATCTTGGTTATTAAATTGAATATCATCAATATTTAATTATCTCTGTAAACACAAGAAGAGAAAATGCAAAACTATCAGGTCATTTATTTGGGTAGTTTTGCTTTTTGCTGAAACAATTCACAAAAGTTATATTTAGGATTTACTAAGAATGGACAACATTTACTAAGATTCTGAGGCTTAGGAAAGCATCTTATTCATCATCTGTATTTTATAAGGGAGAAGATTGCCTCTCAGGGAGGTAAAGAGAGTGGCTCAAGGTCACTTGAGATTTCAATGACGATCGGAACTGGAACCGTTTTCTCTCTATTTTGCGCCTTGAGGCCCTCTCTTAGGCTGAAAGTCCGTCCATAGAGGCTTATTTCATATTTTCAGTCAAGTACCTAATAGCTCTTAATTCCTGCTAGATAATCTAAATTAAGACTACAAGCATATATTTTTTTTTTTTAAAGAACGTATGAGAATAAGGGCAAAGCACTGTTAGTTCATCTATTTATTAGCTTAGTATTTATTGAGCGCCTTCTCTGGGCCCGGCAGAGAGCAGGGAATGGGGAGCGCAAGGTAGGAAGGGTATTTATGCTGTCTTAAGAAAGCTTATAGTCTAAGAATATGCAGGAAATGGGCAGTGCAAATGAACATGATGCAAACAGTGATTAGTATCGTACTCAGAAGGACATATTCAGCGGCTGCTAGAGGGAGGAAGGAAGAGGCTGTTGCCAACAGGACTAGGGCGCGTTTCAGAGAAGAAACCACACATGTCCATGAAGGAATCTTCCTTTGGCAACTTCTGGAGTTGGCATTGAGGTTTTCTTCTGTGGGCCTCAGCAGCAACGCTTATCTCTTGATTAGAAATGCAGTATTTGGTGGGTAGGCTTGAAATGCAATATTTTGTTGGTAGCCATAAAGGATTAACAGAATTTCAAGGGCACTTTCTTGGCATCAAATTACTCTGAAATAACTGCTATTTAAAACATTGCTTATAGAGAACGACAGGAATTCAATGTGATGAAAAATGTAAGACCCCCTGAAAGAATGAAAACACCCAAATCGAACACCAGCCCTCCCGAAGAGTCACATGGTTCTGTGCCCTTCTCCCAGGTCAGACTGTTAAGGGCAGAGAGCCAAGTGCACATGCCTATTGAGTTTTTCTCAACCCTAGGGCATGGGGCTGAACGTGCTGTGAAGGACAAGCCATACCGACTGATTGATTGAGGAGGATCAGTAATAACAACACAAAAGTTTCATTAACATCCCATAATTATTTGAGTAGGATTCTGATATGTTCCATATTATGTATATGGTCTTCCAGGGAAGGGAGGACAGAGATGACAGAGTTAATTTTGTAGGTGGGGCAGTGTCCGCTTTGAGGCATCCTGTAGGCACTTCAGTGTGAGATGGGAAGATTAGGAGAGGAAGCTGTTTGGAGACAGGGCAGATCAGGAAATTGCCCTTTGTTAGAACCAGTCTCTAGATATTGACGCCGGTCATGTACATGAAGTAACTCCAGGAGGCACAGAGCTATGCTTTTGACCTGAGACCCGTGATATCCAGGGTGGTTCCAGGTGGGGGAGGTGGCTGCCATGGTCACCAGGTGGGATTAATGCTCAGCTGACTCTACCTTAGTCCCCTGCTGACCAGGAGCAAGGGCGATAACACTGGCAAGAGCTGCCAGGTTGTCAGAGCCCTGCCAAGCTAATGGGGAGTTAGCGCAAGAAAGTTCTTGGGAAATGGGAGATGCAATGTACATAGTGTTAGAAACATCTTATGGGCATAATTGGTGTGCTAAAAAGGGAAGTGTGTTTTGGTGAGATAACCTCAAACACTGTGAATTTGAAACAATCAGACACATTTCAGACTCCCTTTAGTGGTATTTTTGAAGCTTGCTAAAACCCTTGGTTAATACTGACTTGGTAATCTGATAGCTAAGCCTTCAGTCAAGGATGCCAAAGCTTACTATTGGAGAGGCACAAGGTCTCTTTCTCTCTCTCTCTCTCTCTCTCTCTCTCTCTCTGTGTGTGTGAGAGAGAGAAGGCCTAGGCAGCCCCTTAGGTGGCTGTGTGTGTGAGAGAGAGAGAGAGAGAAAGAGAAATTAATTTTTGCCATGGGCAAGTAAAATGTTTGACAACCAACTCTCTGGGAGAGCAAGTTTTGCTTTGTAGAATTCGCTTTACCCAGTCTATCATTGATGGGCATTTAGGTTGATTCCAGGTCTTTGCTATTGTGAATAGTGCTGTAATGAACATACACGTGCATGTGTCTGTATAACAGAATGATTTATAGTCCTTTGGGTATAAACCTAGTAATGGGATTGCTGGATCGAATAGTATTTCTGTCTCTAGATCTTTGGAAGTGAGGAAAGAGAGAGACCCTCTCATATTGTTTTATATTGTTTTATACTCAGTACCTGTTTTAAGAAAAAACAAGAAAGTAAAACCAAAGACAGGCAGCCCAGTGCCAGGCCCGAAACCAGGTCTGGGCCTGCCTGGCCTAAACCCAGTAGTTAAAAATCAACTCATAACTTAGAAACTGATGTTATTCATAGATTTCAGACACTGTATAGAAGAACACTGTGAAACTCCCTGCCCTGTTCTGTTTCTCTCTGACCACCGGTGCATGCAGCCCCTGTCACATACCCCCTGCTTGCTCAAATCATTCACGACCCTTTCATGTAAAATCTTTGTGTTGTGAGCCCTTAAAAGGGACAGAAATTGTGCACTCGGGGAGCTTGGATTTTAAGGCAGTAGCTTGCCGATGCTCCCAGCTGAATAAAGCCTTTCCTTCTACAACTTGGTGTCTGAGAGGTTTTGTCTGTGGCTTGTCCTGCTACATTTCTTGGTTCCCTCACCAGGAAGTGAGGTAACTGACAGACAGCCTAGGCAGCCCCTTAGGCGGCTTAGGCCTGCCCTGTGGAGCATCCCTGCGGAGGACTCCGGCCAGCCTGGGTGATCCAAAGAGTGCTCTCGGGTAGGCAATTGTCCCGGTGGAACGCCTCGCCAGAGTAGCGGGTAGCAGTCCCCCGCGGAGGATTAACACAGTGGCTGAACACTGGGAGGAACTGGCACTTGGAGTCCGGACATCTGAAACTTGGTAAGACTAGTCTTTGGAACTTGCCCACTCCATCTGAGTGGAAGCGTGGCCTGATCACCCACGGTGTGCCTGCATTGGCACTTTTGTTCTGGTTTTGGCTTGACTTGACTTGGTAAGACTAGTCTTTGGAACTTGCCCACTCCATCTAAGTGGAAGCGTGGCCTGATCACCCACGGTGTGCCTGCACTGGCACTGTCATTCTGGTTTTGACTTGACTTGAATTGCTGGATACTTTGGTTTTGGTTTTGACTTGGCTTGAATTTCTTGGTACTCGGATTTTGAATTTCGTGGTGTTCTAATTTTGGTTTGGTATAAACGATAAAAGTGTGTGTGTGCCCTCTTTACCCGTTCTTTGTTTGGTGGTGAGTGTGTGTGGTGTGAGTGTGTTGTGTGGTGTGAGTGTATTATTTTGTCTTGAGAAAACTTGGGTCAGGTGCAAAGTAAGCCCACCCCATTGGGAACTATGTTAAAAACTTTCAGGAAAGGGAAAAAGAGGGAGGAGACAGAATTTATATGAAAAAGGTTATATGGTAAATTCTTGTCCTGAAAGAAATTAACTGGTTGTTTAAAAAAAATGTTTGTAATAGGTCAGACAGTTAAGACATGTCGAAAAATTGTCTGCGGAAGTTATAAAAGAAAAAAATTTTTATGCAAAAAAGTTGTATAATTTAAAAGTAATAAGGCCTCCTGAGTACTACTGAAGAAACAGTTTATGTGCAAAGTGTATAAAAAAAGTAAAATATATCTTTGTTAAAAAGATTATAAGGAGGCATAAGAATGTGGATTTTTACCTACATTAAAAGGTTAAAAATTATTATTGTTTTGAAAGTTTAAGCAAGTTTTAAAACGTTAATTGTATAGAAAATTCTGTGTGTAAACATATTAGCTAAAGTTAAAAAAGGTATCATCCAGTTTTTCTGTGAACTGGACATTAAAGTAAAATGCAACAGGTTTTTCTTAAAGCATCAAACTGCTCTTTAACAAAAATTACAAAAGATTAAAAAGAATCTATAAAATCTTACCTTATGGTCAAACATAAAAAAATGAACAAATATGTCTACAAGGTTTTATTAAAATTAAGTTCAACATTAATAACACACTAACATAAAGGTAAAATTTACCTTATCTGGTATAAAAATCATATAAGAAGCATTATTAAATATAAAATGGTGTTTAACTTTCTTTGGTCTAAAAGCTAATAAAAATAGGTGCTAAAGGAAACATTCATTTTGCTAGAGGATCATAGAAGTTAAAGACTTAAAACAAACTGACAATTAAGACAACACACCAAGATGCAAATGCCTGGTTGAAATGGATCAAATATTCCATCTGCACATTAAACAAAAGCAATTGTTATGCTTGTGTATATGGCAGGCCAGAGGCCCTGATTGCCCCCTTCCACTAAGGTGGTCCTCCAGTTGACCAGGCGTGGGATGCATGGTAGCTCTTTTCCAGGATTCTACAGCCTGGAATATTAAGTCATGCCAAGCTCTCTCTGCTATATCCGGAAGTCCCTGCAGGTCAGCCCCTGAGGGCCATCCAGCTTCCGTCTACCAACACTAAGTTCACTTCACGTCTCTCATGGCAGGGAGGAGACTTAACATTCCTTGGAGACTTGAAGGGATGCAGTGAGCTTAAATTCTTTTTTTTTTTAAATATAGGAAAAAAGGTTTAATTGACTTATAGTTCCATGTGGCTAAGGAGGCCTCACAATCATGGCAGAAGGTAAGGAAGAGTAAGTCATGTCTTACACTGATGGCAGCAGGCAAAGAGAGAGCTTGTGCAGGGAAACTCCTGTTTTGAAAACCATCAGATCTCATGAGACTTATTCACTATCATAAAAACAGCACAGGAAAGACCCACCCCCATAATTCAGTTGCCTCCCACTGGGTCCCTCCCACAACATAACATGTGGAATTCAAGATGAGATTTGGGTGAGGACACAGCCAAATCTTATCACTTTTAAAAAATTATTATTATTATTATTATACTTAAAGTTCTAGGGTATATGTGCACAATGTGCAGGTTTGTTACATATGTATACTTGTGCCATATTGGTGTGCTGCACCCATTAACTCGTCATTTACATCAGGTGTAACTCCCAATGCAATCCCTCCCCCCTCCCCCCTCCCCATGATAGGCCCCGGTGTGTGACGTTCCCCTTCCCGAGTCCAAGTGATCTCATTGTTCAGTTCCCACCTATGAGTGAGAACATGCAGTGTTTGGTTTTCTGTTCTTGCAATAGTTTGCTGAGAATGATGGTTTCCAGCTGCATCCATGTCCCTATAAAGGACACAAACTCATCCTTTTTTATGGCTGCATAGTATTCCATGGTGTATATGTGCCACATTTTCTTAATCCAGTCTGTCACTGATGGACATTTGGGTTGATTCCAAGTCTTTGCTATTGTGAATAGTGCCGCAATAAACATACGTGTGCATGTGTCTTTATAGCAGCATGATTTATAATCCTTTGGGTATATACCCAGTAATGGGATGGCTGGGTCATATGGTACTTCTGGTTCTAGATCCTTGAGGAATCGCCATACTGTTTTCCATAATGGTTGAACTAGTTTACAATCCCACCAACAGTGTAAAAGTGTTCCTATTTCTCCACATCCTCTCCAGCACCTGTGGTTTCCTGACTTTTTAATGATTGCCATTCTAACTGGTGTGAGATGGTATCTCATTGTGGTTTTGATTTGCATTTCTCTGATGGCCAGTGATGATGAGCATTTTTTCATGTGTCTGTTGGCTGTATGAATGTCTTCTTTTGAGAAATGTCTGTTCATATCCTTTGCCCACTTTTTGATGGGGTTGTTTTTTTCTTGTAAATTTGTTTGAGTTCTTTGTAGGTTCCGGATATTAGCCCTTTGTCAGATGAGTAGATTGCAAAATTTTTCTCCCATTCTGTAGGTTGCCTGTTCACTCTGATGGTAGTTTCTTTTGCTGTGCAGAAGCTCTTTAGTTTAATTAGATCCCATTTGTCAATTTTGGCTTTTGTTTAAAATTTTTAAGAGCTTATCAATCAGTCAGCCCTTGTTCATCCCAGAGCAGGTGTGTTGTGGACCTTTACTGGGCACTCTGCTGAATAACTGGAGTGGCACTTGTGCTTTAGTCCATTTGGCTATCCTTTTCACCCTGGCATTTCATCAACCAAAGAAAAAGAAATAATTATAAGACATAGTAAAGCGAGAGAAGCCCCTTATAGGTTTCCCAACTCTCCTGTCTATTTAGATGCAATTGGAGCCCCACAAGGAATACCAGATCAATTTGAAGTTTGAAATCAAATAGTTACAGGATTTAAGTCAATATTTTGGTACATGACAGTCAATAAAAATGTAGATTAGATAAACTACATCTATTACAACCAGCAGCAGCGAGCTTTTCGTGAGTTAAAAAGAAAAATGCGTGTCGGCCCCAGTCCTGAGACTACCTGACCTGACAAAACTCTTTACACTCTATGTGTCAAAAAGAAAAAAAATGGCAGTTGGAGTTTTAACCCAGACTGTAGGGCCCTGGCCAAGGCCAGTGGCCTATGTCTCAAAACAACTAGATGGGGTTTCCAAAGGCTGGCCCCCATGTCCAAGGGCCCTGGCAGCAACAGCCCTATTAAAACAAGAAGCTGGCAAGCTAACTCTTAGGTCAAACCTAAAGTCCCCCCATGCTGTGGTAATTTTAATAAATACCAAAGGACACCATTAGCTAATGAGTGCTAGACTAATTAGATACCAAAACTTGCTCTGTGAAAATCCCCGCGTAACCATTGAAGTTTGCAATACCCTAAACCCCGCCACCATGCTCCTGGTATCAGAGAGCCCAGTTAAACATAACTGTGTAAAGTATTGGACTCAGTTTATTCTAGTAAGCCCAACCTCTGAGACCATCTTTAAACATCAGTAGACTGGGAGCTGTACATGGATTGGGAGTAGCTTCGCCAGCTCCTTTGTCGTCTGAAGAAGACGACAAGCCCTGCTCCAGTCCCACCCAGAAGCTGACTGGTCTATGCATGGCTGAAGCATGAGGAAATTCATCATGGGACTCATTTTCCTTAAAATTTGGACTTGTACGGTAAGCACTTCAACTGACTTTCCTCAGACTGAGGGTTGTTCCCAGTATATACATCAAGTCACAGAGATAGGACAAAAGATTACTATAGTCCTATTACTTCATGGTTATTATAAGTGTACCAGGACTCTGAAAGAAACTTGTTTGTATAATGCTATTCTATCCAAGGTATGTGGCCCAGGAAATAACCAACCTGATGCGTGTTGTAACCCATTTTAAGCTCCCATGACCACAGTTTTTAAAATAAAATTAAGGACTCATCCTTTTCTAGGTGACACGAGTAAAGTAATAGCTAGGACAGAAGAAAGAGGGATCTCCAAGCATATGACCCTAAAATTTAATGCTTGTGCCACTATCAATAGCAATCAGCATAGAATAAGATGCAGTTCTTTAAATTAAAAAAAAAAAAAAAAGATTACACGGCAGGAAATAAGTATATCTGCCATGAATTAAGCTCATGTGCAAATGTATGTAATTACTGGTCTTGTGTCATCTAGACTATTGTAAAAAGGATAAAAAAGATCCTGTTATAGCTCCAAAAAGGAGAAGGCAGCCCCTCCTTTATCAGTGGAAGCTGCAACCCCTTGAAATTAGTAATTATAAATCCCTTAAACCCAAGGTAGTAAAAAGAAGAACACGTATCTCTGGGCATCAACAGGAAAGGACTAGGTCCTAGAGTAAATATCTTAGTAAAAGAGGAGGTTCGTAAATTCTCTCTGGAATGATTATTTCAGGCTTTCTTTTTTTTTTTTTTTTTTTTTGAGACGGAGTCTCGCTCTGTCACCCAGGCTGGAGTGCAGTGGCCGGATCTCAGCTCACTGCAAGCTCCGCCTCCCGGGTTCACGCCATTCTCCTGCCTCAGCCTCCCGAGTAGCTGGGACTACAGGCGCCCGCCACCTCGCCCGGCTAAGTTTTTGTATTTTTAGTAGAGAC